GTGGTGAGAATTTTTGTCTTCTTAACATTGAGCCTCAGTCCATATTAAAGGCTGCAGTCCATAGCACGAGGAATATCTTTGCTGATGTGAGATGGATCCTGGTTGAAAGTAAGGAATATTAGAAAGTAAGGAATATCAAAGGTATTTGTGTGGCTGACATTGAGAAGGATGAGAATCCTAGAACTTGATTGTGTTCATGAAGAACCTATATCTGGATCAGGAGGCTGCTGTGCAAATGGAGCAGGGGAGTACTGCATGGTTTGGAATTGGGAAGGGAGTGTGTCAGGATTGTATTCTATCTCCATACTTGTTCAGTCTGTATGCTGGGCAAATTATCTTGGAAGCTGGACTCTATGAAGAGGAATCAGGATTGGAGGGAGACTCATCAATAACCTGCATTATGCAGATGACATAACCTTGCTTGCTTAAAGTGAGGAGGATTTGAGGCACTTGTTGCAGAAGATCAAGGAATGCAGCCTTCAGTATGGATTGTGTCTCAATATCAGTAAAACAAAGATTCTTACCACTGGACCAAAAGACCATGCCATGATGGAGAGGAGATTGAAACTCAGCAGCTTCATTTTGTTTGGATCCATAATTAAAAACACTTGGTTTTTCAGGAAATAGGGAGATGCACTGTACTGGGAAAATCTGCAGTTAGGTACCTTTCCAAATTATTGAGGAGTAGTGAAGCTAATGCATCTTGCTGAGTAATTGTTATTTCTCTACCTATGTTTATGATTATTAATGTTAAAGTATATGATGATTTTTTTCCTATGGTTTTTAAAGGGGAAAATGTTCCTTAAACCCTCACCTAATTTACTCGAACATATTGTCATTTCAAAGTGTATGTTAGTTTTGGGTTTTTTTTAATTGTATTACTCAGTTTCAAAGTCTACTTTTTCAGGTGCTTTACTGTAAATTCATTTCTATAATGGGCCTAATATATTTGGAATATAGTTAGGGAATAAGAACTGCAGGTGCTACTAGGTCCATTTAAGCTTTTTTTGATCATGGTTCAAAATATTTAGGCTGTGTCTTATCATCATTATTTTTCTTTTTAATCTTCCAGGTCGAAAAGTTTTAGCCACTTCTAATCAGGTAATAAAAATTACATTATATTTTTCAAATAATTTGCAAAATACAATTTTCTTCAAGCATAGTTTTCCATATTAATTGATTTTAATTCTGAATGGGTGTTAATTCACGTTAGTTTCATATAGAAAATATAATTTTTAATTTTATTTTAAAGTGTGAAAATGT